TCATAACTGTGCCTGATCTGCAACAGGGAACTGCTGCTTTTTCTTTCCTAATCCTGACTATTGTCATTTCCACTACTTCTTTTGTATGTTTGTACACTCTTGTGACCTCCAATTTCCGGGGTGCCTTGATAGTCGAAGCAGACCGTGTGCTGTTGAAGCTAGAGAGGTAAGCAGAGTAAGTCTGATTCCCTGTAGGGACTTCTCTGTTGACACCCACCCCTTGGCGCTCATATGACCTTATGCAGTTGCGAGCGCCGTAAAACCCTCTACTAATAAATAAATAAATTCGATTCCATTGTGGGTAAAGACGTTAGTCGAGTATCCCCAGTCTGTCTGCCCACGTCTGTTCTTTCCATCTGTCGTTTCTTTCATTCTGGCCGTCTTGTTTTTCCTCTCGACTCTCATATGAATGAATGATTGTTGTCTTGTAAATGCACCATTGAACCTGCTCTAGCGGCAACCTATCAGAGACAATCACCTGTACTGTACAGTCAACCACTTCCCCCCCCCTCCCCGTCTAATGTTTTTATTATAATGACATTGTCCAAAGCGTTCATCTGTCTAAGACGGCCATTTTTTCCCCTGTTCTTGGACAATTTGGGCTGTCCCTTTTCACTCAAATTTATAAAACAAAATTCGTCCAATTTACTTGGAATGACTATCCACGTCATAAAGATTTCTCAACCCATTGGCAGTGGAATTTGTGGCGTCATTTCAAGGAAACAAAATGTATACTCGAATACACACACATATACACATAAACACACACACACATGTACTCACAAACACACACGCACACACACACACGCACACACTCACCCACACAATCAGATAGACACACTCACACACACACATACACACGCACACACACACTCTTATTTTTTCTCCATTTCTTTTGAATACACACACGTAGACGCACACCGCAATTTCTTTCATACACACTCACATTCCGATAAAATTCCTGTTGCAACTATTAAAATATAGTAATAATATTCTGTTACCACTAATACCTTCCCATCCCTGCCGTGT